GAGACTTTGTGACCACTGAGTGGCACAGTCTCAATTCAGTGGTTTGAGTCTGGTCAACCTCTCTAACAAAATGTGCAGCTTTCCAGCAGGGGTCCTCACTGTAACAGTTTACCTGTCTTTATAATGACAGCTGCTTAAAAACATGAATGCTTAAGCAAGTATCATAAAATTGACCAGTTCAGAAATCACTAGTGTGGCTCCAAGCCAAAAGAAAATCTATAATAATACATATCTGGATGTTGTTAGCAAGATAGTAGATCTTTGACATGAGGTTTTTACTTCCTGTAAAATAAATCACATGCTAAACAGTCTCAAGGCAGCATCTGATCAATACAAAGACAAGTCATTGTACAGGCAAAACTTCCCAGGCTGAAAATTATGTCATTTATTCCAAGAGTTGGACATAGTGTTATGAACAATTTAATGCAATATCATAGAGTAGCCATGCAATAAATAACTACATGTACTTCCTAGGTGCTTAAAATGTTATTTGTTGATAAACATGCTGAATAAACTATAGTTTGGGAACAATTAAAAAAAAACAAAAAACAGGACAAACAGCACAACAGTAAAACATGGTTAATTGCAATGGATTTTCATGTGGGAGGTGTCCGTAGTCCATTTGGATCCTCTCAATATAATGTACTGGCTACTGAGTATATTTACTCATGTATAGCCCATATCACATGAAATATGACCATATTTGATGAAATAACCATGTTTTATGGTCATTTTTGTGTTTTGTCACCAGTTTGCAACAAAGTGAGATGTCATCAAATCTACATACTGGGTTTTTATAATAATAAAAAAACAACAACAAACATTTTAAGGGAAAATGTCACCCAAACTCATGGGTTGTATTATGTTTCTAAAGATAGTTTAAAAAAAAAAAAAACTATCTTTAGAAATTTAATTTAATATTTTCTGCAGGGATATTCCACTGGGTTGAATTAGGCTGAACATGTATTTATCTTTTGAAAACTGCTTATAGTATATTGGATTTTAGGGAAATTTGTAAGAATGTCCCATCTTGATACGCCTGCCACTTTGAATATATTGGAATTCCCCTTGTGCAAATGTGTCATAGAAATACAGATAGAAAATGTAAAAACTAAAAAAAGGGAGGCGAGGGTTGTGTAGAAGTGGACAATTTAAGCATGAGTGAATATTTGGCTCCTAGTCTAAACATTACACTTTCTTACACCCTCATGGACATCTGCCTACAGTCTGCACACAGATACTATATGTGCACACACAGTCTCTCTCTCTCTCTCTCTCTCTCTCTCTCTCTCTCTCTCTCTCTCACACACACACACACACACACACACACACACACACACACACTGGGCCATCCATCCAGAACTTAAAAAAAAAATCAGAATCATTCGACTTATTACTCATAGGCTACAGGCTAAAAACTGTGTTTGTTGCTACATGTTACTATTGGTTACTCTTGACAGTTGCATCACATCCAAGCTCTTTGCCAAGTTAGGGTGTATTGTAAAACAATAACAAGTGGATATTTTCTTATGTCTCTTCACATTGCTTGGTTGGTCTTATGATGTGTGTGCCACCCAGTTTCTGTACAGTCTCACTTTAATAACTCTGTATTGGACCACCTTTCTAACATCCCAGCACATATGGTCTCTTGTGCCAGATTTGGGTGAACAGACAACACATTAATGGCGTAATAAAGGGTGGGCGGTTTATTAGCTCAGTCCAAGTCCCAGTGATTGACTAACAACACAATAGTTAGGCTGATGTTTCTGCTGTTATTCATCGGACATGGAAAGCAGCAGTGCACATTCACTCATACACTGTACTTATTTTTCGTGGGGCTAAATACTTTTACACGTCTACATTATAGGGGAAACACATTTTAAAATATGATTTATTAAAGTTTCTGTAAACGATCATCACTGCCACTAGATGTCACGATAGACCACCAGCATCTCAGACCAAAACAAATGCCGCCTCCACAATACCTCCGACTTCCGTTCCGCCTCAACCCCTTCGACATCCCCTCCCTTCATGTTCTCAGCCCGATGAAAGCGGCCACTAAACACACACCAAGAAGCACAATTGAATAAAGTCATCCTCTGCGCACGAAAGCCAACAAAAAACAACGCAACATCCACCATTAGCCCAGAGCTAGCATTGCCTAGATATGCTCCACAGCAAAGCCGGCGATAAGCTAGCTAGCGATAGCAACATTTTTGCTTCACACGTTCATACAATGGATAACAGCAAGTTAGCTAACATTATCATTACCTACCGACCGGTAACTAATGAAAACAGACATGTAGCTGTGTGTAGCCATTTAATTACTTACATGTGGAGGAGAAGAAAGGCCAGTTCCGAGTCGAGCTGGAGCCCCTTAGCTGCTCAGTGTTCTCCATCTTGGTAAAGCGAGGCCAGTATTGGCTCCAAGGTCGGACTGGGAATTAAATTCAGCCTTGGACTTACTGGCTTCATGGGACCGCTACACGAAGGACATTCGCGGAACTTGTAAAGACACCGATGGAGCCTGTCACAACTTTATGGATACTGATTTGAGTCGTCTGCCAATCTGCCTGTGCTCTGGGTTTACCTCTTTCTGTAGTGAACCCTGTTTAGATGATGACATGGCTTCTTCGGTGGAGGATGTTCTGATTGAGGAGGATCCTTTCACCTGAACTCTGCCTATTGCTCTGTGCCATCTTGGATGTGGGCGTTCACTGTGTACATATAGTTTGACCAACAGTTTAACAGGAGGGATTCACATGCACTAATGCACATACTGTAAATGCACTTACATGGATACCATAATAAAGAACAGCAAAACACAGATATCAACAAATACAGAAGGAGCTTGATTCAGGACGCCATTACTCCACTGTATCTTTGCATAGAAAATAGTTATTTGCTGCTATGCTGTTGTTTAAGTGAGATTTTTGCACTTTTAGCGCTCAAAGGCATAGGCGTAGTAGGGGGTGGCTTATGGGACTCCAGCCCCGGATGTTTTCCTAAAAGCACAGACTCTTATATGAAATTTCTAATTTAACTTAAACTCTCTGACTGGACCGGCAAATCAGTGGAGCTCTATTACTACTGTACTTGCAGAGCATTCGGGGTTGATACAAAACACCTGATGGTTTCATTTTGGTGTGCTGGGTGAGCCATGAGGGAAGAGCAAGGGGAAAGGACAGGACAACCTGTGGACCAGGAAAGGAAGCAGGAACAGGTGAAGAGATGATGTTAGGAGTTAGGAGGAGAGAGGAGGAAAACTTGTGATCAAGAACCAGGAAAGGAGTGGAGAATGGGTGAGAAGAGGAAGTCTGGATTTGAAGAGTGAAGAAAAGAGTAGAAAAGAAAGGAGTGAAAGAGAAAGGGAGGAAAAGGATGAAGGAGAGATGAGGAAATGAGATGTGAAAACTTGTGAAGAGGCAGAGAGACAGGTATGGAGGTAGATTTGTCTCAATATTATTTGTGTCAACAGATTGACAGTCAGAGTGTAAATGTGTGATCTTCCACAAATACAAAAAATACATTTTTAAACTCACAAAAAATATCATGCAAATATAAAACAGGTCCGCAAATACACAAACAAATTCCATGAATAAAAACATATCTGTGAATACATCTAATTCATTTACAATTAATTGAATAAAGTCTGGTGCAAAGTGCAAAAGAAGGCAAGTATTAATGGTAGTGCAGTGTGCCAGCTGTAACTGAGCAACTGTAAAGGAAGGTGTGTCTATGTTATTATACTTTACAAATGCTGCATAAGACACGCATGGAAACGACATTATGAATGGAACAGTTAATAGTGTATAAACTGTGTAGCTGAATTAATTGTATAATATCACACTTCTGGTAGAACCTGAAATGAAAGGCAGTATGAATAGAAAAAGAAGCGGTGGTTTAGCTTTGAGGTTTATGAGGTGTATGATAATAATCACTCATCAATTATGAAACAATACTCCAGCTCAAGTTTCCCAGCAACATGATGAATGAGCTATTGCTGACTGTTCTGACTGTGCAAAGAGTTGTGAAATAAAAACAGCAATTTTCACAATGGGTTAATCTTTTTGTAAAAATATTTGTTCATTTTCTCATATGTGTAATGCAAAACTGAATATTGCTAGGTTTTGGACAGCTGGTTGAACAAAACAAGATGACATTTTGCCCTTTGGAGAATTGTTTAAATGATTAATCAATTATAAATTATTGATTTTTTTTTTTTTTTTTTTTTACAAATGACAACCGAAATTTACATATACTGTGTTCACATTTTTAAAACTCTTCACTCAGACTCTTCACCAACATGCAGCTCAGCACAACAGCTAATCTCACATCCAGAATGCACTAAAGCAGTACCTCATATACATATAGCCTATATGTCAGGATCAACTCTGGTACCAGAACACTGACACACTGACCTATAAAAAAAGCCTTAAAAAAAACCTGACACGTCTCTGTGTCAGGCTGGGCTGTGTCTGTGGTTTGTTTTTTCTTTTTGTTTTTTTTTTAATGTAAAAGTAGCAAATTGCAATAATTTGTGTTATAAAAGTGTTATAGATAAAGTTTAAATAAAGTTACAGCCCCATAGTACTCCTATGCTGGAATAATTATACTTTACACCTGGTTTTCTCTGTATTAATTACTTTAAATAAAATGCACTGTATTTAGAAATATATACAGTATAAACTAAATTAATAACAGTCCTAAAGCAATACAAATAAAAATTTTAACTGACATTGCCCCTCTGCAAAACCAGGGGCCACAAGACTCACATGACTACTGGTTCAAATTACTGATATAAAGTAAACCTGGGGCTTTTGGGGCCCCTGAGGATCTTGGGCCACGATGCACTTGCCTGCTTCACCAATTTTGGTCGTTGGTAAACCTGGGATCATTCAGACCACTTGGGGGACTCGGGTCTCCCAGATCCAGATCGGGAGGAGGAGCCTGAGTGGAGGAAGTAGAGCTCCACAGATTGGATGTGTGTATGTGTGTGAGTGAGTGTATGTGTGTGTGTGGAGCAGTTCACTCCATAGTGAGAGTGTCGCCAACCACTGGACTGTGAAACGAGGAGTAAAAGGACATCCTCAGGAGGAACTCGCTCTCGAGAAATTGAAGATCAGTAGATTTCCTTTTTGTTTTTATTTTCCTCGGTACAGGTTGAAGCGGTGCAGCCGGTCCAGAAGCGAGCAGTATGCATTCAGACTGCAGGCTGCTATGGGCAGAGCGGTAATGGTGGGCAGGGGACCGACAGGGGCCGGGGTTCTCGTCCTGTCGATTCTCATCATTCTCACCACGGAAAGCTGTCGAGCGCAGAAAGGTTGGTGCCACCACACAGCTGCGTTTGTGACAACTGGAGGAGCCGAGTGCAGCCACAGACACATGCGGCCATGCTGGTTTAAAGTGTGAACACAGACGTTTTGGGTGTTTAGAGATAAGCTTGAGGAACGGTGTGCTGTTATTGTCAGCCAAACTTAAACCCACCTTACATGGCCGTGTGTACGTGGAGTTCCGCTTGGTTTACACCGCTTGCCGCCGCCCGTCGTTGTGTGTGTTTTTTTTGTTTTTTTTTTTTTAGTGAAAGACGGGTGTAGTTAAAACCAGGCAAACCGGTTCTGAAAAGGCTTTGATAGTGAAGGAGTAACTGCTGATCTGTGGACCAGTTGCTTGCTGAATTCACATGTGGCTTTTAAATGATTTTTTAAACATTTTAAATCGCAATCTATTTCTTATTTACCTTGTCTGATTCGCTTGGTACCTTTAAATTGCTAGATTTTTCAATGGAGTCTGGCTATAAGCTCCCTGTGTACGAGACAACAGCACATTTGTGGCCTTGTTGTCCTTCCAGGTAGCCCGGTTTCGACTTTTACCGTGGATCTAGTTCTACAACCACGTCAAACTTATAATATGTTATGATTGTTGAGGGTTTACTTAACACTATATTGTACTTAAACACGGATATTTTGTAGGTTTTTTTTTTTTTCGAGCCGGGAGCCAGCCTCAGGTGGTCAGAGATTGGGGGTAGGGGAAGCAGCTAGAGTGGGGGTATGACTGTAAACACGTGGACACAGTTTGTCATAACCTTAAATTTCACATGAGTTATAATTGTTTTTTTTTCCTTATTAATTGTCTCGTGTTATATGGATAGAAGTTAATGGTTGAATTTCTGTCTAAATTAAGTTGCGTTTTGGTTTGTTTTTGAGCATGAGGTGTAACTTCAGGAACTCCTGTTGAATACCATGCAGTTGTTCAGAAACATTTGTGAGTCAGAGTGAGGGAGGCAGTTTTGTTTTTGTCCTGTTCATCTGGATAGTGTCCACTGAGGAGCTCTTACATAACTCCAGGCCCACAGAACATACACTTAGCACCATGAAGCGTGACTGTTGAGTGTTATCTCAGAGCTCATGAGCCCACAGCATCAACAGACACCATGTCTGTGCTTTCTGACAGCTCAGAACTCAGAAAACACCAAAACAAAACTTCTTCTTCAAAAGTCTGAGGTCATGATTGTTGTAAAATTGAATTTTAGAGTCATTAAATTATCTTTAGATTTTAAGGATGTGGTCTTAAACTGCCAGAAACAAATAAAATCAGATAGCTGTTTCTTAAATTTTATGTTTTGGTCAGAATTAGTTGATGTTCTGTGCAACACCAGCCAAAAGGTTTGAATAGTTATAAAACGCAAAGCCAACCTAATGCTCAGCGCTCTGCTGAACCCAATTATTACATGGCATTCATTTGGCAGATGCTTCTATCCAAAGCAAATCACATTCCTTTTACCCCACATTCACACACAATCTGGTTCGGTGTCTTTCTCAAAGGCGCCTCAACATGCAGACGAGTGTCTCACCTCTGACCCGATGACTAAAGCTGCAGCCACCCCAGATACAGTATCTCTCATGTGCTGCACTTCAAACGCTGTTCTGCCACCTTTACACTTGCATGATGTCCTGACCTGCAGAAAGAAACCTAAACAAATCCACAAACCTAAATCCCTAAATCCCAAACCAAAGCCTTGAAAAAGATAAATGTAATTTTAGATTTGCGCTGTAACAAACAATTATTTTCTTTTTCTCTGTAAAATGTGAGAAAACACAAAACCTCAATTTCCTGACTGCTAGGAGACATCATCAGATGCCTTGTTTTGTCTGAGCAACAGTGATAAGATAAGAGATAGATATTAACCATATGATGATATACATAAAGAAGAGCAGCAAGTCTTCACATTGGAGGAGTTGAATACAGAGAACATTTAGCATTTGTGCTTAGAAATAATAAACATGATAAATAATAAATGGCATGTGTTCCAATTTATGTTACTATTATTATAACATATTATTTATTTATTTATTAGCTTACAAAAAAAGTGCTAGGGTTTTGGTTAATTAATCTTGATTTAAAAGTCTGAAATCAGCAAAACTCTTGGTTTGGATTCGTTCTTCCTGCCTCCTTTTTCCTGAAACTGTGTGTTTGTTTGCCCTGCAGGTGATGGCTGTGGCCCCAGTGTGCTTGGCCCCAGCAGTGGGACTCTGTCCTCTCTGGGTTACCCAGGGACATACCCCAACAACACAGTGTGTGAATGGGAGATCAGTGTGCCCCGTGGCAACAGGATCCACTTTCGCTTTGCTGAGCTGGACATAGAAAACAGCGACTGCCAGGTCAACTACCTCCGCCTCTACAACGGCATCGGACCCGAGAGGAGTGAAATTGGTGAGACTGACGAGTAGCCACGGAACTGGACGTGAACTGGTTTGCAGGCTGTCAGGAAAATAAAAGTCAGATTGTTGTGACAGTTGATCGTGTTTGCCGGAGGTTGTTCAAACTTTTTTGCACCATCAGACCTACAGCAGACACTGTCACTACTGCGTCTTGCAGGAGCTATAGAGCTCATTAACTCATAATAGGAAAGTGTTGATTTTGATTAAAAAAATTTAAAAAAAAGCTTAATCCATCCATTGATTCTCTGCTGATTGTCCAGTCCAGGCCACTTTAATTTGATTAATTATATCATTACAAATTATTGTTATATACTGCTGGGAAGTACTGGAAAAATGTGATATAATGATAAATAATTATTGGCCATGTAGTTCCTCCTTGTTTTCCAGTAAAACCAGAAGTTAAATTACATTCTATGTGGTTCTGAAAAGTGATTTAAAAAGTCTGTAATTTAGTGAACCTGCAGAAACCCTGACAATCATTGGATTGTGAGAAACATTTGCTGTAGTCGCTCACACCTCAGCTGCGTCATCCTGTGCCAGATTATATGGGAGAAACTCTGTTGTTGGCTCTTGTGATGTGTATCCCAGTTAGTTACACCAGCCACTACACAGGGATACTTGCTGTATTATTATTATTATCCTTATTATCCAATATAATGCATGCTGAATGGTACGTCTGTTGTTATATTTGTTAAACTAAACAGGCCTGTGTAACTAACCAGAGGCTGTATCTCCTGTGTCTGTGCTGTTTAACAGTGAAGTACTGCGGTTTGGGTCTGAAGGTTAAAGAGCCGATCGAGTCCACTGGCAACCAAGTCACTGTCCAGTTCATGAGTGGGACCCACCACACTGGACGTGGATTCTACCTGTCCTACTCCACCACTGAACACACAGGTAACAAGCTCTCAGCTCACTCACCTGACTGACTCATCTGTTGATCATCCGTATGTCCCAGCCTGCAGGGGCTTCAGCACTGATGTTTTGAGTGTGTTTTGGCCCTGGGTGTAAAAGTTGCTTTGGAGATCGTGTGTGGCTGTGTAAGTCACAGCTGTTTCATTCTGCACCACATTCTTATGTTTTTATCAGTTCTGATGTAATTAGATTGTCCTGGAAAGACCTGGCAGCTTAATCACTGTTGTCGTGTGAAAACTTTATATTCCTCCTTATGTCAGCTTTAAAGAAAAACAGCCATGTCTGCAGCTTGATCACTGTGCAGTTTTGCAGTTTTTTCCTGTGCTATGTTTGTGAGATATATATATATATATATTCTTTTTTTTCGAAGTTGAAACATGAAATTATGGAAATTGGAGCTAACAAATGTTTTGACAGCGACACTTGTCTCTCTACCATGTTGGTCATAAAACAAAATCCTGCTGGTGGTGTCATTAGAGGAAAAGTTAAATCACGGCAAACCATCCATTAGTTAGATTATATATAGATTATTCAGGTTGGACAAAACTGGCGCAGCAGTTTAGTGAGTGTGCAGCATCGCTGTCCTCAGAGCCACATCGCCGTTTGTGTGTTTTTTGAAGTGAGAGGGAAAGTGCTTCTCCTATTTGCATTGATTGCGTTATGGATCTGGTCTGATTTATTTGTTCTTGGATCCTGACTGTCCTCTCTGTGGTCTCTTTTTGGATTAGGCGTCTTTTTGAAAATGACTTCATGTACGTTGAGTTTGGCTTTCCAACCGTTCTGTCTTGTATTGGTTACAAACTTTGTTTATATAAAATGTTGTTGTATTTCCTGTTTTGTGAATATGTTTTGTTGTCAGGGCCAACATATATTATTGGATCAAAGCAGACAAATTACATTTCCCATTATCCTGTAAGCAAACAGTGTCCTCCGTTCATAAAATGAAAGCGAGAGTTAACGTTTAAGGATGACTGGAGTTGAATGGAGGACTGTGTCTTTAGTTTTGCGGTTGTGATGATACCCAAGGGCAACTAAGAGGAGTGTTTACGATGTGGTGTTTGCTCACCATTGAGTGTGCATTTAAACACACAGAGCAGATAAGGCGCTGCTCTGTGGTGAATGGTATAGTCTGATCAGCCACATATTTTTTTGCCTAAATGAGAGAACAGACAGCACTGACCAGAGAGGGGTAGCACCAGCAGGTGTGTTTATAGCTGCTGAAAAAGCTTTCGCAGTCCCTGGGCACCAGTGAATGTGTCAGTGTCTGGCCTCTGTCAGATTGCAATTTAACAGACTTCCATGTCTACAAATTCAAAATATGAACCAAGATCCAATTTATTGTTGATGTATTTGTCGTTTATTGGTTGTACGTTGGGTTTCAGTGGAGTGTGGCTGGTAAAAGATGCCAGAGAAGGGTAGAGGAGAGTGCACACAGATATTTCAGGTAGTGACAAGAGCCAGTGACAACATGAAGCCAGTGAAGAAGAGAGAGAACAAGGGGCGAGAAGAAGTGAGAGTAATTGAGAGTGAAAAGTGGTAATATTTTGTGGTTTCATTATAAAGTTTCCCCTCTGTGAGAAGCTGTCAACTATCCTCTGTTGTGATATCAGTGTGATAATTAACAAGTGTATGTGATAGACAGACTATTATGAGATAAAACAGTTTCTGTCACCCCATCCTAACACTGGTTTGTAGATATAAATGTTATAATTATTTCCTTACATAGACTTTTACGATTCATTAAAAAACCAGTGGTGACTCATCGTTTCTGTAGGATATGAAGCTAATCTGGAATGTGGTTTGTATTTACACCAAGGTATACCTAAATAATCTAATGCAGTCCAGAAAAACAGCCCTGCCATAACATTTAGCCTTTTAAGAAGGTTGTTTGGTCACACTGATGTAAATGTGTATATTCAACTATATTTATTACTGAGATCATAGTTAAAGGGGATGTTGTCCTGGACTTCATCATACGGAGAGGGGTTTCTAATCTTTCGTCCATGCCATTTACATACATGCAGTCCAGTATAACACCATCTCTAACTATAACTTCAATTCCCAAACACATAATGTATTTAACACCTGTATGACAACAAAAACAAATTATAGGTATCATGAAAGTAGACTTCATAGCAGAGCACGTAAGCTGGGTTGTATTAGACTGTGCAGGTGTACCTAATGAAGTGGACACTGAATGTATGGAAGCAGCAGTTTTTTAAACACAACGGCTACGGCCAATGAAATCACATTTTTTCTTATAGTCAGTCATTTGATTGTTTTTCTTTTTCTGAGATCAGAACCGTACATGCCGTGATGCACCCAACCACATTTTCTGAAGTGTCTAGTTGTTGAGCTAGTCGTGTTTACTTCCACCTGTCAAAAGGAAAAGGGGCACATGTGCTGTGTGGTACAATGTTTATGAAGGAATTCATTTTAAAAAAAAAATAATATCAGTAACAAAATAAAAGAAAGCTGAGTGATATGTTTACCCATGATGGTGTGCAGAATACACTGTATTTATATTTGAAATTGAGTTAATTATTCACATTCATGGTTAAATATTTTGTTAGTAGATTAAAAATCAATATGTTGTATTGCTCAGCTGATTATAATTGAAAATAAATGTTTCTCTGTTATGTTTACAAACGTTGCTGATACAACAAGATACAACAAACGAGACAGAGAGGGAGAGAGAGCGAGAGAGAGACAGAAGGCTTGAACCAAAACACATGATGATGAGCCGGTATGTTTATTCACAAACGGACTGCATTGTGTCTTCTGGTGCATCTTGTCCTGGCTAATATTTCAGTGTTTCAGCCACTCAACAATGAAGAAGACCGTTACAATCAGGCTGTGACTAAATAGTTTCATTATAGTTTAATCTGTTGATTTACTTTTTTGATTAGGAGGCAGAATGTCGGGGGCCCCGGTGGCTCACCTGGTAGAGTGCGTACCATTATGGCTTAGTCCTAACCGTAGCGACTCGGGTTCGAATCCGACCTGTGGTCTTTGCTGCGTGTCCTCCTCCCTTCTCTCTCTCACTGGATCTAGAATAAAGACATAAAAAGCCTGAAAAAAATAATAAAAGGAGGCATGTCATGCTGAATGTCAAAAAATGGTGAAAAATGGCAATTACATCACAATTTCCCTGAGATCAACGTTGATGATGATGATGCTTGTTTTGTCTGAGCAACAGACTGAAACCCAAAGAGCAGAGCAACAAATACACACATTTTAGAAAATGGAGCGGGAGAATTTTGACATTTTTGTTCTTGATAAATCACTGGACTGAATAATGAATTATGAAAGTTGCTGGCAATTAATTTTCAATCACTTGGCTAATTGATAAGTTGATTAATTGACTAAGAGTTTTTGCAAAATGAACCCTGATTCTCAGATGCGTCAATGTTTTTGTTTTAGGACCTTTACATAAATAAGCCAGTGTGTTGAAACTGGTTTGTCGGATCTGCTTTGAGTAAAGAAAACGTTAAAGAAAACACTGTTATGGCCAATTTTTGCACATGACAGTTTGATAATTGATAGTATAGATATAATTCATCTGATACAGAAATACCCACCCCTAGCTATTGTACTGTATGTGGAAGTCTATAAGGCACTTAATCAGATTCTGGTGTCTTAAAATTGACGGATTATCTCTTTAATAAGAATGTTGTTGGTAAGCACCGTGATTTCTGTTTTTGAAGGGCGAGCTTTGTTATGTGGAAAGATTTGTGTGACTTCAGATAAACGGATAATTGAAGCCACAAGAAGAGGAAAGCAGTGACGTGTGAGCAGGAGGAAAATAATTCTGTCTTGTGGTCGTCTTGGTGTAACTGAATCACACTGGGAGGCAAACAAGTCCATCAAGTCCGTCATTTCATTTTTCCACCAAAGTACTGATGCATGTTTTTTCTTTGTCATATAACCGATGGGCAGACAGTTGGTATAGCTAAGTTACACCGTCACCATGGCGACTTGTGGTGGTTGGGGGGTATTTGTCAGTTTGACTCAGAGGTTAGTTTAACAGATATTTGGAGTTTTTTTTGATAATGTGGTCAAGACTCACAGAGACTGACCGCCACCGCAGGGTTTACATACAATTCCCAGCAGCCCCCACCATCCTGTTGGACGTGTGTAGTGTGCCTCATTACTGGAACACTGAGGAACCCCCAAAACACATTTTCATGCAGAGCCACTTTGATGTGTTTGGAGTTGAGCTGTCAACAGTTTTTATAATTGAGAATTTTTTTTAAGCCAAAAAATTAATAATAATTGGTTCCAGCTTCTCAAATTTGAATAATATTTTCTCATTTTCTTCTTCTTTGATGATATTGAAGTGAATATCAATACCAATAGTGGTTTGGACTGCTGGTTGAATAAAGCAAGCAGTTTAAATATTTCCCCTTGGCACTGGGAAGATTTGATGGGTGTTTTTTTTTTCTCCGCAATTTTATAGACTAAACGATTCACTGGAATAATAAGTAAATAAAATACAGGGCTCAAATCCTTACATTTGAAAAACTGGAACCAGCAATTAATCTATGCCTGAAACAATTACTGTTTTACCAAAATTGATGCCATGAAGTTTTGTCCAGCTTTGCTTTTCTCCTGTTTTATATATAAACAGAATGTCTTTTTGGTTTTTCGCAATTTTTTTTTTTTTTTTGACAGTTGTTATTTTACCAGAGAGAGAAACAGGGAAGAAGCGGCAGTGACGGGTGATGAGTTAGCTGGAACAGGCAGAGAAACCAGTTCTGACGATGTTTGTTTGCCTTTGCAGATCTAATCACCTGCCTGGACAAAGGAACTGATTTCCCCCAGGCAGAGTTCAGGTAAATAACGTTTGCTTTGTGCAGATATTTGTGCAGTGATCAAGCTGTCAGATATTCATTGTGTGTGTTCTCTCTCTCTCTGCCCAGTAAATACTGTCCAGCAGGCTGCCTGACATCTACTGAGGAGATTTCTGGAACTATACCAAATGGATACAGAGAGGTGAGTGCATACAGTACACATGTGCATGCACTGCAGTCGTTTTCTTTTTGTTGGTATTCGCTATCTTCAGCATCACATTTCCAGGTGAGTCATGGTGCCCACTGGTCCCCTGCTGTTTGGTCACAACCCCCAGCAAAACCGCACACAACCCACCACATCATCGACGTTTGCTTACTCACATCTTTTGTCTCATTACTGTGCTGCAGGTTTGTGTATCTTCCAGCTTGATTCAGTAAGGGCCTCCTTTTATTCCTTGTGTAAACGGGCCCCCGCTCTGTGGTATGCGAGTCCTGGGCTGATGACCTCACAGCACCCCCGCTGTGCGTGAGGTCATGGGTGCCGAGTCTCTGGCTGATGACCTCATGTTCAGAGCTTGAGGTTTTTGTGGAAGGAGGGAGGGAAGGAGGGGTGTTGCTGGCTGATGGAAGACAAAGGGGGGGGGGGGGGGGTTGTCGGGGTGTGCTTCAGGGAGTGAGGCGCCCCACAGGAACAGAGGAGGGGCAGGGTCAGCGGGTGAAAGGGAGGTGAGATAATAGTTTGGCCGAAAATAATAACCCTCTAATCCAGTCCAGCTGCAAGAGGGTGCAGAGCAGAGCTGTGTGCTGAGTGTGTGTTCTGTAGAGGCTGGAGAGAGTGAGTGTGAGTGAGAAGTTGGAGAAAATGTCTGTGCGTGCATGTCGGTATTTTTTTTTTTTTTTTTTCCTTTTGTGTATGTAAGCATGTGATTCATTCATGCTTGTGTTTTGGGGGTGTGTTCGTGTGTCACTAGGCTGTAATATTATGGTGATTATGGAAGCCTGATAAACTAATATGCATACTTGAGTCTGTATCACACAGGGATCAGCTGCCCCACCCAGACCAGATTCTGCAGCTTTTCTTCATTCTCTCTCAGTATCTTTTACTGTGATCCATGTGCTGGTTTTGATATTTCCACATCCCACTTATCATATCTGTGTGTGTGTGTGTGTGTGTGTGTGTGTGTGTGTGTGTGTGTGTGTGGTTTCCTCTGTTGGAGTCAGGGTGCGGCGGTTTGGAGCAGTGCACCGTGTTTGTGTTAGTGGTTTGGTATGGCTTGCGTTAGGATGTGGTGTGTGTTTTTGGGAAGTTTAAGAGTCACAGGGCAAGTGTTGATTGCATGTGGCAGCATTCGACTGCCGTGCATGTGTGCGAGAGTGTGTGTGAATACATGTGTACATGTGTGTATATATGCTTTTCCCACAATCTTGTCGGCTGCGAATTCCAGTGTGCGCCTTTTCCAGTAATAAAATTCCACCTCACTCAAGCAGCTGTTCATGGGAAGGAGCTTGTGGCCAGAGAGGATTCAGGTTTTGTCCTTTTCCCAGTGATGTGGCAGCAGGTTTGGACAGGAATGCAGCCGGCAGTGAATCATTACCAATGCCACTTGGTGTTCTCTCTACAGAGAGGTGACTTCATGCTGACTCATCGGCCTTTATCTGCCTCAGTCTGAAGGTTAAGAGCTGACAGTACTGTTCTCTCTCACTTATCTGCAAACGGCCCCAGTTTGCAGCGGTACCAAACGGTACCATTTACTTGAAGGACAGGTTCAATCAGCCTGGGCCACAGTCAGCTGCCTATATGAACAGTGAAACAGTTTTTGCTTGTTGTAATCGCATCCCTTGCTAATGTGCTCCAAATGTAAGTGATGGAGAGATTCTGCAGTCCTCCTCTTGTGTAAAAATTTATTGATAAGTTGAAGCGAATATGATGCTACAACCATTTGAGTTAGAAGAATCAAATGGATATTTTCCAAAGTCTTAGTCTTTTTAGAACAATACAACCCCATTTTCTGGTTCTTTGTCTACCACTGCGGCTCATCAGGGAAATACAAAGAAGGAATTCTACAATAAAAAAGACAGTGACTTTCTGTTTTGACTCAGACTGCTGAAGTCTCATAAGTTCTTCATCTTGATTTCGTCACTTACTATGAAAGCACATTAGGAAGGGACCGGGAGGAATGATTACACCAACTACATCCTGTTCAATCTTCATATGGACACCTGACTATTGTTTTAAAGGCCAATTCATACCTTCCCCATCCACATGTCTGCCCATTTCCTCACTCCGCCCAAAATCTGTGACTGTATGCTTCGCAAGTGCGCCATCTGTGCATGCTCCAAATAACAAAATGGATTCTTGTTTTGAAGAGAGGTTGTGATTCGGCACATTTATATGATTCTTCTTATACACATATGCTATTATATCTGCAATAAGCTAATAATATATTTATTTTTTTTAAAAGACAACCAAGAGTGTCTGTTTTTGTTCAAATCCGGCTCATTAAGTACAAAAAATTTTATAAAATCCAAGATGACCATTAAGAAATCCTTATCATTGATTTACAACATTGACTAAGACACCACCCACAAGCCTCGTGGCTGCTATAACGTGTTCAGTATTCATTCAGGCTGCAAAAACAAACCCTGGCAGCAAGTGTCAATATTAGGACTTGTGATGGGAATTTCTTGCAACGTTGCTGATTTTAAAACAAAGTCATGCAGCCAACTTCCTGACGAGTCTGATAAGATAAAATGTGTGTGTGGGCTAACTCAAGAAAAACTTCAGTTAGCTTTATCTTCTAATCGTTTTGAAGCGGCTACAGCTCATACTGCAGCAGACAAATAACCAGACAACTCTCTTGTTTTTTTTGGTGATCTCCCTTTCTACATTTGTAGATCTGTTTTCCAACATCCAACCAAACATCAGTCACACAAGTGAATTACAAAGAGCAACTCAGTGATTGTGTTGTTTTGTTTCAAATGAAGCCTTTCCTTTTGATCTGTTATCCGTTTAATTTGCCTAATCTTCACAGGCCATCAGATACAGATGGTAAACTATGTTGTGTTAACCAGAGTAAGTTACATAAACAGAATCTCTGTGTAATCTTTCCCTCTGCAGTCCTCTCCCCTGTGTGTGGCAGCCGTCCATGCAGGTGTGGTGTCCAACGCTGTGGGAGGGAGGATCAGCGTGGTCAGCAGCAAAGGCATCCCTCATTATGAGAGCACACTGGCTAACAATGTCACTTCCACTGGGTAAGATCGTTAGTCGCTACAGCTCACACATCCTGCCTCTCACTCTGTTCTTCATGCACTGGTACTTTGCTCCTGCTGTTTCATCACATGTACGTTGAATGAACTTTAACTGTATCAGTGTTTATTTTAAATTTAATAGAATGCGAGTTTTATCAATAAAACAAAAACAGATCAAAGTCATGTTACAAAATGTGTTTGAATTTTTATGCACTGTGTGTCTGATCCTCTAATCCTGCACTTCTCTTCTCAGAGGAACTTTGTCAAACAGCCTCTTCACCTTCAGGACCAATGGTGAGTTTTTATTATAAAGCCCCATTATGAGGTATAATAGTTTTGTAAATGTTTGCATCTGGACTTCTGTGTCCAGGCCATTAGCAGGGTCTCTCATCCTTTATCTAAATGAAACTGTGGAATTACAAGCACTTAAAATAAGTCCTATTAAGACCTCCTAAATCTCTTTCAGTTTCCCAAACATTTTGTATTGTTATTAATGATGGTGACGGTCTCTGTGCTTGCAGGCTGCTATGGGACGCTGGGATTAGAGTCTGGTGGTGTTGCAGACACTCAGCTCTCTGCTTCATCTGTGTGGGAGTGGAACATCTTTGGTCAGCACAGCGAGTGGGTGCCATCGGGGGCTCGCCTTAAAAAGGCAGGGCTGCCCTGGGCGCCTTCTCAGAGTGACCAGCAGCAGTGGCTGCAGATCGATCTCAAGAGGGAGAAGAGGATCACAGGTACACAACAACATGAACACAATCACAAAGATACCTTTTATGTAAAACTACACACTCACTGATAGTACTATACACATAACCATTACCTTTAATTCAACTGTAAGACAGGAATAAGGCACTCCAGCGAACAAAAAACTCCCTCAGGTTTTACTATACACTTTGTTCCAGACTTAAATATCAAGTGTGTGTTCTGGAGACAAAAAGCTAAAAGAAAACAATTTAATGTGACTGAGAAGTTAGAGAAATCCTCTGTGATGAAGGCACAGGTCTTTAGTCATGTTCGTAGAACTGCTCTGTGAATGGCAGAGTGGGTTTGTCCACCACTTTGGTCCAGACTAAAATATCTCAACAACGAATAGATGGATTGCTTTGAAGTTTTGTGCAAAAAAAAAAAAAAAAAAAAAATTCTACTGACCATGACTGTGACTGTGTGACTGTTACTCAAAAGCAAGCAGTGACTTGCGATTTTGGACACAGTTGTCACTTTGCATCATCACTGACGGGGTCACACAACAGTAATTTTCACTTCTATAAAATGCGACACGTTACATTGTCTGATTTTTAGCCACAGATGCTACTTTTTGTTCCACTGTGTGATGTTCGGGAGCACTATATAGTGCATACATTTCTTTAATTTAACTGGGATGTCTCATACATAAATTATCTTTTTTTTTTTCTTTTTTTTTTACCTGACCTGAGACCTGAGATTTATGCCAAAATGCTAGTGCAAGATGGGAATGGCATGGTTACATAAGAACACACATCACTTATTTCCAACAGTCACATATAGCATGACAGAATAAGACCTGATACACATGGGAGATGAAATTTGGCTTTTTAAAACAATTAGATTCCTGATTAAACATATTTTTTAAATGTGATGTTTGAGGATGTTTTATATGAAAGCAGCATTTTCCAAATGAAGATTTACACACTCAGTCTCATCTCAGTCAAGTAAAGTGGTTTACCGTGAATACAGTGCACTTTACAGTAAGTAGGAAGTAATACTGGACGCAGCCTCACAGTCTTGTTTAAGCTTTCAGTCGAGTCAGCTGTACATTATCATCTTGTCTCTGTCCAACCAGGCATCGCCACCACAGGCTCTATCCTGAGAGAGTATCAGTACTATGTTTCAGCATACCGGGTCCTGTACAGTAATGATGGCCAGCAGTGGTACAACTACAGGGAAACAAATTCTACACAAGACAAGGTAATACAATCACAAAATCAATAGACCATGCTTCCTCAACAATTACATCATTGGCTTTTATGCTTTTTTTTTTTCTTCAAATTAGTGCAAATGGACAAAAATGTCACTTTAGAAGGCTGCAGGGACACATAGTTGGATTGTGTCCATAGCAACTGGTATTGACTCAGAGATGTTTATGGCAGGAAATAAGAGAAGTCAGTGGTTTGAGTTAAGTGCTGTGGTAGACAAGTCAGGACACTTGGGCATTAATAATGAATGGATATGGATTTAGTGGCCGGATAGTAAGGCTGGAACTGCTGTCTACGAGCTGCTCTCTGCTGGGATTCTCACAAGCTCTTATTGTGTGGAGGAAAGTAGTTATTAGCTCGCCAAGTTGGAGACTAATCGGCTTATGGCTTATAGTGTAATTGTTCACAGTCCAGTCTGAAACAAGAATTGCTCTGATGAACTTTCTTATAAAATACTACTACTGGCCCGCAGTTGGGTTTTAATCTCTGGCTCCTTTTTATGGTAGATTTTCCAAGGCAATATCAACTACCTGCACGAGGTGAGGAATAACTTCATTCCTCCAATCGAGGCCCGGTTTGTGAGAATAAATCCCACATTATGGCACCAGAGAATCGCGCTCAAGTTGGAGCTGCTTGGCTGCCAAATTCCTGCAGGTAAGCAAAGTTGGTTGAAGAGCAGATAAACAAATATATGTTCCCAGAACCTCAGATGTAAGTTTGTTTGTTTGTTTTTTGGACAGCGAGGCGGAGGACAGAGCCGAATCCGAGGATGATACCCCCTTCTCGTCATACTCCACCCCCTGCGGGTACAAAACGCCCGCCTCACCTTGGCCAAACTACACACACCCCAGACATAAGAAACACCACTATGCCTCCCCACACCAATAAAGGTGCGTCAGACTTTCAGTGAAAAGAAAAAAAAGGCTTGTTTGATCCTTAATAGAGGCAATTGTCATCTGGTGTTTACTGTAGTATCTTTGCTCTTAGATGTGGCCCTGGCAGCAGTCCTGGTTCCCGTGTTGGTCATGGTTCTGACTGCTCTCATCTTGACTGTGGTTTGTGCTTGGCACTGGAGGAACAGGTATGTGTTGTTCTCGTTATCCAAATAAAAAAAACCTGAAAACTCTTGTTTTTTTCCTCCATTAACTTTGTTTTCCTCTGTTGACAGGAAAAAGAGCTCTGAAGGAACATACGATCTTCCTCACTGGGATCGCACAGGTACGTCATCACTCTGCATTATAGGCTCTTAGCTGTGCATGTGCTTCGTGAGAGTTTGCTGGTGCAACTCTGTGCATCTCATTGTGCTTCTGCTGTAGACTGGTGGAAGAGCATGAAGCAGCTGCTGCCGTCCAAGATGGTGGAGACCGAGGATTCAGTTCGGTACAGCAGCAGTGAGGTGGGCCGGATAACGGGGAGAGGTGCTGTACCAAGACTACATGCTGAGCCTGCAGGTAAACACTCACCGTTCAACATGGTGACTACTGGAGTAACTGTTCTTAATAAAAGCAGCTTGTTTTTGTGTTTCGTGAGAGATGTTTTCAATGTGTCTGTGTCGGGTGCTCACGGCTATTAAAGGCACCCTGTGGAGTGTTAAAAGCAGTTTTAATTACGTTCAGTGTTGGTCACCAAAAAGCAATCTGTGTGTCCTTACAGCACAACGTAAAAGCTGAGTGCATTTCTTATCTCCTGAAACACTGTAAAACCTTTATTTTTGAGTGTTGTGAAACGTTTATTTCAGCAGTTCTGTCTTTAAAAGGACATTACAGCCACCAACCGTTGTATACAGAACTGTGTGGAAATGAGGAATGTCCTACAACTGTTCTTGTTTGACATGGCTAGTCTTTGAGGTAAACACCAGTAATATTGGCTAAGATGTTAGATGACTTAAAGATGCACAGAGGAGTTTTCTTGTAAACAAGGAAAACTTGTTTACAGTCAGCATTTCTTACCGAAACACACTGTGTGTATTTTCAGAGTCTAACAGAAGTGTTGACTGTATTTCCTCAAAACATCCATAGACAAGTTGTTGTACATTGTTCACATCCATATCTACTGCTACAACTTGCAGTCATTTTCTTTTCGTTTGGATTTGTTGGCACATGGCAACACCTACTCTCACCAACTGTTGATGAGTGGAATAGACTGAAACTGGCAGCTGGAATATGTATCATGTCACCTGCATGCAGTGCACACCTCGTGCACATGCACAATACAACTTAACAGGAAGCCACAGCCTTGGTTGCTGACTGTGTGGACACCACGTATAAACAGTAAGATATCCCTGGTTATTAATATAATTTAATATGCTGTCTCTGCAGAATATGCCCAGCCGCTAGTGAGCGGTGTTACAACATTAGGTCCACGATCAACTTTTAAACCAGATGAGGGGCCTGACCCAGGATACTCAGATCCGGACCTGTACGACGCCCCCATCTCACCAGACGTGTACCACGCCTACGCAGAACCCCTGCCAGCTTCGGGATCTGAATATGCTACACCCATTGTGGTTGACATGGGTTGCCACCCATCGGGGGGCTCCTCTTTGAACCAGCCCTCCACTGTGTGTAGCTTCATGGGCGCCGGACCCGCCTCCCTGCTCACACGAACAGACAGTGGCCAGTCAGGGAGGTTGGCGTACGATACACCGAAGAATGCCACTGGACAGGTCACACCTACTGAGGATCTGACTTATCAGGTGCCTCAGAGTTGCTCTCAGAAACCAGCAGGACAGAGCTGAAGGGGGATGCACATTGCCTTAATCACTGCTCAGCGCAACCCACTGGACAAAGATAGAGAGGGTTGTTAAAGGATGAGGAGGTGTGAACCTGTGAGCCCTGGAGCCTGGGCTTGAGTCTTGAATGAACACTACCTTAGCTTTAGATTCATCTGGAGATGTCTGTATTGCCTAATTGTTTCTGCATGGCCACAATCTGCTTGTGTAGTGCCATTACAGTCCTATCACTGAAACCACAAAGATGAATGTGTTTGTGCCTGGTGTGAGCGTCGGAGGGATGAAAAGGAGAAAGCTGACTACTATTTGCTAAAAGACTTTGTCCCTGTTCTGTGATTCTTAGTAGTTCTTGCATTCTGTGAAACTGTGATTTCCATGATTCCCTTTATTATTCTGTTACATACTAAACCAGGATCGACTGACATGTGCTTCATGATATACTTTCATCAAATCTAATGGTTCTCTATGAATTGCATGTTGCATTAAGTAGTCCACAGTCATGGTCAAACAATTCTTCCTTTCTAGAGAAACTCTAGTTTTCATGGTACGTTTTGTCTTACTTTTTTTTTTTTTTAAAGCATGACTTGAAATTGTGTATAATTCTAGTAATTCCATTAATGCAAACCTGTTAAAACTCTCAAGTGATTTACTGATATTTATTTTTATTTCACATCCTGCTGATAAGGAGAGACTCTTATTAAAAAAAAATAAATAAATAATACCCCATCACTACCCGTACTGACGACAGATCAGAAATTTGTGGTTACACTGTTGTAGACGCCTTACTGACAATGACTGTCGGTGCATTTTTTTTTTTTTTTTTTCTTAAACTTGTCAGAGATGTTGTATGTTAACCTGAAGAGGCCGATTGGGAGAATCAAATCCAACATACTCCCCAAAGCGAAAATACTTTTTTGTAGTATTGGAGACCAAATGTTGCCTTTTCTATGTTTATGCAATGTTGATTCACAGCAGATTCGACTTTCACAACCTGTGCCAACATCGCAAGTTTAGCCAAGTAAACATTAAAGCAGTCTTAACGTAGGAACAAGCATTTTTAAATACCTAGTTAGAGGATGTTCCAGAGAAAAGGTACAGAGAGATGAGATAGATGGGTAAATCTGTTACAGCTGATAATTCTCCCTTGTGTTTGTTTATTTGTGCATCATGGTGACTGTCTCGTGTTGAAATGGGTGTTTGATCTGTCCTAATCCATTTGGGTGTGACTTGTTCCTTCCTTGTAACTATGTGCATCAACATCTGTATGTGTGCTAAGCTGATTCCATAATTCAGTCCTGTGTGTTTTTTGTTTTACGGACTGGTGATGATGTGGCTTATAGCTGTAGTAGGATGTGTTCAGCCATTGTCTGTAGCACCAGTAGACTGCATTCCTCTCCTGTCCACCTGTGGTACTGACCTGACCAAACACAACGTGGCAGGAGTGTAGGTAGAAAAAAATGGAACAAGCTGCTTTATACCTTTTACAGAGCAGCAGCCGCCCCCCGACCCTGAGGGAAGGTGTTGTTCACACAGCTGTGCCACCAGTCGTGCTTTGATTATGCTCAATAACCAAGGCGATCAATATGCAGAGTTTTGGTGCTCCCTGGTCACAGAGGGGTTGTGTTTATGTGGCTCTCACTGATTGTATATAGAGAAATAAAGAGTTTTTAAAAGAAAATGTTTTATTCAAATCTTCAGCTGTCATCAAAACAGACTCCACAATTACACTGCAAATACAGTTAAATAAACCTTTTTTTCCCCCTTGATCAACAATGGCCATACTTACACAAAAAAAGATCTAAACTGCATCATTGTTTTGGTTTATAAAATCATTGTTCTGTGATAGTTTGGTTTATGTATGAATATCTGATTAAATTACATTCCCATCAGCTTCAGTTGTAGTTTGCGTTGAGTGCTAATTAGCATATTTAGCATGCCAACACACTAAAGTGAGACGGTGAACATGGTAAACATACCTGCAAAGCCGCATGTTTGCTTTGCCACTTTGAGCATTTAGCTCAAAGCTCCACTGTGCTCTCACAGAGCTGCTAGCATGGCTGCAGTCTAAAAACAAGCATTTCTTTAAGCACCTATTGTACCATGTAACACTGACATAGATGCAATATTAGCTGCACTCGCTAACCTTCATGCTTAAACCTTAATTAAAAACCTTTATTCAGTATTAGGAAGTAGCGTTACAGGGTTTGTCTAATGGCTGGTGCCCACTCTACATCACACTAATTAAAGTGTAGCTTTTCCACTTTGCCATAATGACATGAAATGCAGCTTTAACACCACAGTGACTGGAGTTTACTAATTCTTAATATAATAATTATAATAAGTATATAATAATCATCTTAATAAATATTAACAGTGCATGAACAAAATGGTGTGTGTTACAAAAAATTCAAAAGTTCATCAAGTAAAAAGGCACCCAGCTTTCACAAGTGGTTGTTCCGAACAACATCATCACAACAAAAGCCGTCACACATGTGGATCATTTAGCTGATTGGGAAAGTCATTTCCAGATGTCAAACTAAATTCTTCATTGGTTTTCCTGCAAATGCTGTTATGGTATTGCACCAAATTAACATTCTTTTTTAAAACCATTCTTATCCTTCATTTGCTCACATCAGTGCTCTTGTCATTTAGGATTTGATGTCTGTTTAAAGCAGCTCCTAAGCAGCACAACAATTATCAATTTTCAGCTGCTTGTGAGTTTTCTTTTTCACTCCTCAGCGTCCCAGTGCACCTCTTACCCTTCATTCCTCCATGTTCTTGCCATTCTTTCCGAACTTACACCAGACCACCGTGAGGATGACAGCTATCAGTAGGATCAGGCTGCTGGTTACTAGGTAAGCAATGGGCAGGAAATGGTTCTGACCTCCAAACCAGGTCAGCGTCGTCAGCACCACTTCCTTCCTACCTTGGAAGTACTGCACAGGGAAGTCTGGAAAGGCAAAGGTCAAGGCCAAAAATAGGTGATCACAAAGGGATGCTCAATGGAAAATAGCTGGCTCGTAGTCTTAAAATAGTCCCCAAGACAAAGGAAACAGGTGCACACAATAGGACCACATAAAGCCATCCCTGACAGCAGCGAAAGGATACTGTAGGATATGTCGATGCTGTAACTCCCGGCTGGAAGCCCCTGAATGAAGGGCTCGTTGGCTCGGTGCAAAACCCCATAGAGCTTCTTGAAGTTGGGGAAGGCTGCCTCCCTCATCCATATGATCAGGTCATCATTGATGAAGCCGTTGTTGGTCGGGTCGATGGGATCAAGCTCATACACTGGCTTGTGCCAGTACAGTGGCTTTGCTGTGCCTGAGGAGTAAAATCAGACTCGTTGAAGGAGATCTGACATACTTGGAGAACTGACCAGAAACTGAAATACAGATTGAGTTTGACCAAATTTACATCTCTATTTACCATCAAACACTTGAGCCAGTGACAAGTTGTCCATCCTGGGGTTGCGAAATTTGACATTTTTGTCGGTGTACCAGGTGATGCCTCTCCGTAACAAAGGAACCCGAAATTTATTTTGATTGGATTCATGATAGGTCAGAGTGAAGGAGTCTGGGAGAACAGAAGCGAGTTAACGGTGCAGTGAGAGGAAAGGTGGAGGAGGGATACGACAATTGATGGCATGTGTGTAAGCAATGGCGTTTACCATTGAAGATACTATTGGCCACAGCGCCACAGGGAGCAATGGGCAATCCATTCTGGTCTCTTGTAAACGGCTCACAATATGAACTGGGATTCTAGTGAGGGAACAAGGTTAATGAAGAAACCCAGGAAGATTATTTAACAATTCGAAATAAGCAAGAAAGCAGTGGTGGGATGTAGCTAAGTGTTTAAGTACAGGTTTATGTTACTTAAGTATTCCAACAACAGGCTTTACAAGCAAAACATATGAATATGATTTTTTATTATAAATTAAACAGTATTCATGCACTTTGAGCAAGACTTTGAATGGAGGACTTTAACTTGTAAAAGGGTGTTTTTTTTACATTGTAGTCTTGCTGCTTTAGCTGAAGTAAATGATTTGACCGCTACTGCACCAAAGGCAAACAAAGCAGCATATGAACAATTTCCATTTCAAACTAGCTTTCTGTCTAGAGACAAAAACGATTTTTGATGCAATAATTTATGTCAACTAAATCTAACATTAAGTGAAGTGTTAACAATGTTATTGTGGTGAATTAACAGGCAATGTTGTGGAGCTACCTTCAAGTTTTTCTTCCTGCCAACCATCTGTCCATCATCTCTGGAGTCCATGTATCTACGGAGGTTCTGATGAAAGTTTTTCAGGCCATAATAGAAAAAGACGTCTCCCTGGAACAGCACCAGGATACAGATCATCAGCATAGGAGTGCAAACAGAAATGCTTAATTGTGCCTTTGATTCACTGTAGTCCCTATGTATATTAGAGTATATTATAATTATATATTTGAGTGAAGTTAATTCATCACCATGGTAGTTTCAGAACATAATCTCAATTGAAGGCCAATTTAAAAGCTTTTTCAAAGCATTCAACCATGCTTCAACAGCTGAGCAAACTCCATCCACTTATGAGGACCTGGTGATGCAGGTGAACACTTGTGCATAAAGCTTGTACACTGGTCCTTCAGTAAGATTGGATATGATTGTCAAACTTAAAGGTTAATTACCTTGAATGGTCTCTCAATAGAAAACACCACTTTGCAGCTGCAGCTCTCTCCTGCGTTGCTCACATTTTTACGCTTTTCAAAACATATATTACAGTTCGAAGCATCTGTGTAGTCCAGCTGAAAAGAAAGGAGATTATGATGTTAATTGTAAACTGTGAGCAAGTTGTTCCTGTTTACCTAATTCGAAACCTAACCCTGGACCTTTCATCTCCGTGTCACTCCTTTTTATTGCACACAAGGGCATTTGGTCTCTTCCTCTCTCTGCCTCTCTTACACACATATAATGTGTGTAAGTGTAAGTGTATTTTAATATGTGTATTTTAATATAATATTTACACATATATGAAAAAAACTACTTTACAAGTTGGAACAATTTGCACAAAAACTCACCTTTATTTCCTGTGTGCTCTGTACCATGAGAAGCAGCCATACTCCCAGCAGCATGCATATCAAAGCCATAAAGTAGAAGAAAGGCAGCACAGTGTTAGCTGTCAGCATGGGAGACCACGCAGGTAGCCTCTGCTGTTTGAAAGCTGAGTTGTCTGGCCTCCGGGCCAAGGGCCCAGACTTGCCCTTCACTCTTCCCATGAGAGGGACCTTCGGTTGTGGACAGGAGAGGAACTTGCTGCACAGCGAAAGAGCCAAAAACTGTGTATGAGAAGGCACAGCTATCTTCTCTTCCTGTTCTTTATTTCAGCGATATCTCCGTGTGCACACACACACACACACTCAACTCTGCTTGCTAAGAGATTTTCCCAGCAGGCATTGCAGGGCGGGGGAGACCGTTGTGGCCTGTTACTTATTAACCACAATCTTCTACTAACTACCTCTTTCTGTTTTCTGTTACTTCCATATTGTTTTGTGTGATAACTTTTTGCTCTTCTTTGCTTCTTCCTTCCTACAAACCCACAGGTTTCTGTTTATTTACATCAAAATGACTAAGTAGAGTATTTTATATCTTTATTGTAATTTGCTGAGGGATATAATATGTTGGTTCTTGGCCTTTGTGCTGCTTTAAAACGCTTTATCAAAAGGATGTTACGATAAATGGGGCTTCCTAGTGGGCAAGTAAACACATGATCTCACTTTGGCAGTAGGAGGGACTTCCCAAGGTCAAGAGTAAACAAACAGAAGGATGCCGTTTCATTCTGAGTCCATTTATTCAATCCATCACACTGAGACATTGTGTTGGACAACAAGAGTGAACAAACAGCACCACACATTTGACACGGCCTCTGAAAATAGTAAAAGCACAGCACAGGTTTCACGCCGACACAAAGGGAAAACAAACAGGATGAGGCCGCTCGGCATGTTGTCGGGACCATCAGTACATCGCCTTAAACATCAGGTCTTCATGTGGATTATCAGCAGGTTTACAACATACACTTAAAAGAGTCCAATTTTGACTTTGTCGTCTTTACAGCCATTCAAGATACCGTTCTCCAGCAGCTTCATAAAGTCCAGTTTGATCTGAAAGAGACAGTCATACATGATGTGTAACATACAGTCGCTAGGAAGAAAACTTGAAGATCCTCTCCAGTCATGTTTTAAGGCATATAAAATACTCTGCTTTGAATAAAGTTCAGTTACCTTGTTAAATCACACCTTCTCTGTAATTGAAAAATTGAGAGTCTATGAATATGCAAATGTTTTTTATTTTAAAAGTTCAACCTCTGAACACAAGATGTCTCCTCCTACACAGATTAAAAAAACAATAGTCAGTGTCTCTACACCTGCATGTAGCTCTGCAACTAAAAACTATTTTCATTCTTGATTAATCATTTAATCAATAAAATGTCAATCACAATTTCCTAGCACACAAGGTTACATCTTCCCATAGGTTCTTTTGTCCAATTTACAATCCACAATCCATTAATTTTCAGCCAAGCAACTAATAACTGACTAATCGTTTCATCTTTACTTGTATGTACATGCCTTAAACTCAGTTTTAAAAGGTGAGCACAATTAAACTTTTCCCCTTCGGCAGATGTGAAAACAAACCTGCAGATATTCTGCACAGTAAAGGTCAAACATATACGTATGGTAATACTAATAAAAACACATTTTTAAGTGTAGGAAGACTTTAAATATATTTAGATACTGTCAAATACTTCATAAAAGTTGTGTGATTTGTTTGGTCATTATGTTTTCAGTCCAGCAGGGGGCAGTAGCTCACCTCAGGAATGTCTACCATCCTTCTGAGCTTCTGGTCCCTCCAGTTCCAGTCCAGAACCACGTACTTCAGTGCCTGCAAGTTCAAACCCTCTAGGAAAAAAAATAAAAAGAATTTCCACAGATTAGGAAAGCTTTAAAGCTTTGAAGTTAAACAGTGAGACTATCCTGCCACACTTACCTTTTTCAATAAGAGCACTGATCCTGCCCGGAGTCCCCACTCCAATGTGGGTGACACCTTTCTGCAACAGCTTCACCTGCTCCTCTATCTGTAACGATTGAAAGACACACTCAAAGAGAACTGTTCTGATGAAACTAGTTATTGCATACAAGCCACACGCATCATGGTGACTAACTGTCCTCTAGATTACCTTGATGTGTTTCGCAAATAGCTTTACTGCTTTGGCTTCACCCTTGAACGTGGTCAACTGCCTGAGAGTGACAAGAACAAACAGCTCTCATGTAAGTCTAATTAAGAAGTTGTAACATACAAAATTTAACAAACACCACTGGTATCACTTACTTGATGAGCTCGATGGTTCGGAGAGCAGAGCTACAGACGATGAGCAGAACCACCGAACTCTTTCCTGTATGCTGCTTTTGAATCTTTGCCCACTTGGGACAAACTAAAGGGAACAGGAAAAAGAAACACACGTGTTTAGGAGCAACGAATGATAAGAGGATTCATTCAAACTAAGTCAAGAAACATCACTCACCCTGTTTCAGATAAGAGGAGAGGCTGTGCGTCAGGTCATTACTGGACAGGAAACAGGAGTCTGGAAGAGGCAGGGGGGCAGACGGTGACCTTGGTGAATCAACAGATCAGCAGATATTGACTGAACTTTCAAGTTAAAGGGGAGCTGCCCTGACTCACCCTGCAATTTCAGCTCCTCCTGCTCGATCACAGAGCGCTTGTCTGAGAAGTACTGTGTGACCAGGTTCTGCAGGTCAGCCGGACTGCCCGGTTTTGGTTCAGAGGTGGCCAAGACCTCTGTAATTGTCTTCTTTTTCTGAAAAACAAAATATATTGATGTACCATTCAGAGACAAAGCCCAGTGACTGCCGTTGCTTTGAGCAACAGTACAAGCAATAATTCTTGTCTCTCTCTGCAACAGCAGGTGTCGCCACACTCACCTTCCTCTTTTTTTTGGGTTTAGTTGACTTTTCATCCTCAGTCTCTTTCTTTTGAGCAGTTACACACTCGGTCTGTGAAAAGAGAACAGGCAGAACACACAATTCAGGCAAAGTACTTATATATTACAAATATAAATCAGTGTTTCAATGCATTTTAATTCTCAGAGGTACAAATTTTATTTCCACATAATACATTAGATGTATATCAAATCTCTTAATTCATTCTATCATATATTGTATTACAAAGCATACAAAATCCATCAAGATGCCACACCAAATGATTCACCACAAAAACACACACAATTCAAATGCATGACATTCATATATTTAACACCAGTTCATTTTCCTATCCTTCATGTTGCACAAAATTATAAAGTAGTTTTTGGCATTCTTAATTTGATGCATTTTCTGAAATGTGTTCAATCGAACATCATAACTCCTGTTTATTTCAGTAGTGGTTTGAAAAAAATATGTTTTCTGAATAAAAGTATAATTGAGACACCGTAGAACCTTTTTCCATCTGATGTCAAATAAATTAGTAAATGAAAAAGCTTCAAACTGCAAGTGAGATATGTCTCAGTAAATCAGTGTCTGAGCCTGTTGTTCATTTGTGGGCAGTGTTTTGAGAAACTACTTTACACTGGTAGAAGCTGAGCTACAGCAAAGCTATCCTAGGCAGCAATGTAGTTAAAGTAACTAGACCTACTTAGAAAAAGTAGTTCAAACTAACAAATTATAAAATTGACAATGTACATGTGATACGAAATTATAACAAAATATAATACAAAGAAGTCACAAGATACCACTCTGTTGAGTTTATTGCAAAAAGTGGCTACTTGTTCACAGGTCATACATACAATACTCCACTATTTATGTGAAAGTGCAAGGAATGTCAGCTTTGGTTTTGTATACAATAACTGCTTAAGTATGGCCTTTGTGATTCTTCCTCAGGCTGAGATTTGGGAGGTTTAGCTATGATGGTATTGTCGCTGTGTGAGCACTGAGCACCCGCCCTTGGCTTTTGCACATGCACTACACAAACGTCAAGCATGTGGTTGCGACCACATTGATGACTGCAGGTGTGTTGCCTGGGCATGTTTTTTACACCGTTTGGGGATGGTCAAAGTGAATTCAATTACAGTAGAGATGCAATGTTAAAATACAAATAAAAAACAGTAGGTACTGTAAATAGACAACAAAAGCCTACTGGATAAGCAGGTACGACATAGAAATACCTGTTCACTCTTTTTCTTCTTGGCTTTAACTGTTTTCTCTGTTATCCTCTTCCTCTTCTCTGGTTTAGTCTCCGTCTTTGTTTTTTCTGTTGGCTGTTTCTCTTGTTCTGTCTCCTCCTCTGACTCACATGCATCTGGAAAATAAGAGAAAAAAGAGGGAGAAATGTCCTTCATGTATCTGGATTTATGGGGTTAACTTGCAACTGGGAGTAGTGCAAGATGAGGAAACTGTCAAGATGAGGCAACTCAGAGCAAAGAATATATTTTCTATCAGCCGAAATCAGATTTTCCTATGAACAGACATGCCTAGCCATGATGCCATCTTGGAAACAGACACTTCTCATGAAATACAAACTTATGGCATAAGAATCTGTTTCCACAGTTTAACCCCTGTACCAGAGGTTTGGCATTTGTACATTACGCCTCAGACTGTTTCTCCAGTACACATTTCGATCAGTACAGAAAAGCAGAAACACACAAACGCAACTTGAGATAACAACAATGAAGCAGACCTCAAACAAAGCATCTGGTTATATTTAGCCTCTCTGTTGCTACCACTTCTCAGTGCATACCTCTTGTCTCATGCTATGATGTCATGCTCAGACCCCTTGGTATATCCGCATGCTTGTTCAAAATATTTTAGCTTTGAAAACAGATGCCAGAAAGAACTCTGCAGCTTTTATTGCAGTGTCCTTGCTGGATATGCACTTTTAAATTACTGGTACTTTTACTTTGTAGTGCTTCCTGTGAATCCTCAATATCAAAGAACAGTCCACCGTCGACTATTGGACAATGTGACGCACATTTTTGACAAATTTCTGTTGTTTTATAGACAACATTGTTTTTGTCGATTAATCGACAAAATAACCCACAGAGAATGAAAATAATTGTTAGTTGGCAACGATATCGCCCACTCCGTGAAAAGAAGCACCAACGTCTAATCAAACTGTTGGCAAAATGGCTGCAAGCCACCATCACTAGCGGTTACATTTAAATAAATTCCAATATTAATTATCAATCAATCAGTTGTATTGCATGTAGTTTTACTTGTTAACGAGAACAGCTCCAAATACTGCAAAAGTAGCTTTTAAGCTACTTTAAACAATGTGAATACAACACTAACAGTGGGGCTAACCATGCTTCATGTATATAGCCATGCAACACTCCATGTAAACACCTGCAGCATAAA